ATACTGACATTTATGGGCCCTGGACCCCATGGGCCTTGCAACGTATTTACCGTATTAGGTAATACACCTTAATCATCTGATTAACCCCTAATCACGGGTTAAGAGCAATGAGTGATGATAGTTCGGTCCTGGTGGCCGATTGCCGTTCGGCCACCAAGTACTGCCATTCGGCGGCCGACCAGAGGTGGCCGAACGCCCCTACCCGTACACTGCCCCCCAGCCTTGAAGGAAGGTGAGGCTTTCTTCAAGGGTAAAACGAGGACGGTTGCCAGGGTAAGGTGAACGGTTATGTAATTGTAACCGTTAGATCTCGAAGATCGAACGGTTACATCTTCTTTTAAAACTTGAATTTTCCCGCCTCTTTTTGAGCTTATAAATAGGTTGAGTGGTAGGGCCATTCGCATGTATTGCTCTCATCCGAATTGTGGTAGCCGAAGGTTTGAGAAGCCGATCCGAAGAACGATTGTGGTTTTGTGAAGAAATTGGTAAGTTTTTATCGCCATGTCTAATACTTCATCGAGCTCTTCGGCCAGCAGCTCTCGGTCGTCTGCGTCCGAGGGGTCTTCGTCCAGCGCCTCGAGTCGTTCTAGCACGGTTCGGTCCCCTACTGATGCCGAAAGGCCGGATGAAAGTGCTTCTTCATCAGGAGAGACTTCTACTAGTGGGAGCGAAGAGGTCCAACAAAAGACAAAGCGTGTATCGAATCGGCAGCGGTACGGTCCATCCGAAGTGCCGGGTTATGAGTGGGTAAACGGGGAGGTAACCTCCTATTACTCGCGTTACCGAGACACGGGCATGATTACCAACTTGTTGGATTACACCAAATGCTTGAATTTTGGCGCCGCCGAGGAACCCTATCCGATTGGGGTTCGGTCATGCCGGAATAATGCCTTTCCGAACCCGGATACGGTTTGTCTTGATCAAAGTGGTGCGAAGATGGAATCGTTTTATATGTACGACTGCCTCATTCGGGATCTCAAAGTCAAGCTGCCGTTTGATGAATTTACTATGGGGGTGTTGAGGGTGCTGAATGTTGCCCCTACCCAATTGCACCCGAACAGCTGGGCGCAATTGCAAGGTTTCAAACATTTGTGTAAGTGTGTCAACATTAAGCCTTCTCCGCTCCTCTTTCTATATTTCTACTCGTCCCGGCCTTCTATACTGGCGAAGTGGCATTCCTTAAGCCGAATAGGCGATCGACTACTGTTGGATAGCTTCACTTCGTCGTACAAAAATTTCAAGGCTGGATTTTTCCGAGTGACCATCAGGCCTAATGGACGACGCTTTTTCTTTAACAAGGACGATAAGCCCTTGTTTCCTCTGTACTGGACTCGAGCCCCTCGGCCGTACGACGTAGTGCCGAAGAAAATGCTGACGACCGAAGAGCGGGAGGACTTGAAGTTGTTACTTCGTCTTCCTCGGCGCTTGCCGACCAGGTCTTTAATTAACTTGGTTGAGTCTTCGCGTTGGTGGAATGACCTGATAGGTATGCTATTTGTCCTACTACACTCGTAAACTTAATTCCTATTGATTTTTACTCAACCCTTCTTGCAGGAATCATGGTTACCAGTGGTGCCGATGAGCTGGATATACGCCACCTACTTGCTGCTCGGGTGAAGCAAGTTCGGCAGTCGGGGGGGGTAGGCACGTCGGCTGCTGCACGCACCCCTCGACCCAATGATGATGACCGAGCTCCCCCTTCTCCTGAACGTAAGAAAAAGAAAGCCAAGAAGGGAAAAGATGCCAATCGGGACCGTTCAAAAAGAAAGAATTCTGGCGAAAGGCAAGAGCACGCAAAGAAGGCGAAATCAGTTCCCGAAGCTTTGCCTAATCGGATCGTGATTGTGGTGCCTCCTCAATTACTGTCTCGGGCTTTTCTAAGCGATGACGCCTCGGCCGAGGCAGTGATTCGGCCAGACATGGTATCTCCGTTCGGGCAGGAGTTCTTGGCTACCTTGGACGTGAGGGCCAAATGGAGACTTTTCTGTGAGGTACAAACTCGCTCCTTGGCACTAGCTCATCACCTAGCTATGGAGCCTATCGGCGAGGTGACGCTTTTAAAGCAAAGTATAGAGGAAGCCGAGAAGACTACGGCCGAGGCGATTGCAGTGAATGAAGAAGTAACGGCCAAAAATCGAGAATTGTCAGCCGAGTTGGATGCTGTTCGGCGAGACAATGACACTCTTCGCCTTGACCTTCAAAAGGCAGCTAATGAGGAGCATCGCCGACTGGATGAAGCTCAAGCCGCGTATAACCGTCTTAAGGAGCAGGCTAAGGAGAAGATTGTTGCTCAACATGAAGCCGGGTTTCAGCACGCGGTTCGGCAGGCTAAGCATTTCGGCCAATTTGAAGAGGGCTTCGAGTTTGATATGACCCAAGATTTTTATCAAGGGTCACTGATGTCTTTTGCCGATATGCCTCAGGGAGCCGATCCAGATGCTACTGAACCGACTGCTGCCCCCCAGCCGGAAAATGATGTTGAAACTTCTGAGAACACCCTCGACGAGGAGAATCCCGAGAACGAGAATGATGCCGAGGGAAATCCCGAAACTGCCGTTCAATCTGATCCACCCCAAGAGTAGCGTAGTTTTTGCTAGGTTTCGTATAAATTTTTATTTGAAGTGTAGATCGGAGGCCGATAGAGCCTCTTCCTTTTTGCAAATGAAATGAAATTGCCTCTTGTCTATAATATTGCCTCATTCAAAGTATTGGTCAAACTTGCATGTAAGACTTTCGTAATATCATTTACTTGTAGAAATGAAACCATTTGTAAGCTAAAATAAAACCGAGTGGAGGTATTCAGGATTGCGTAACTTTTTGAGCGAGGCCGAGTGGAATGGCTCGGCATTGCGTTACTGTCTTGGCAAGACCGAGTGGAGTCACTCGGAATTGCGTTGTTTTCTTGGCAAGACCGAGTGGAGTGTCTCGGAATTACGTTGTTTTGTTGGCAAGACCGAGTGGAGTCACTCGGAATTGCGTTGTTTTCTTGGCAAGACCGAGTGGAGTGTCTCGGAATTACGTTGTTTTCTTGGCAAGATCGAGTGGAGTCACTCGGAATTGCGTTGTTTTCTTGGCACGACCAAGTGGAGTGTCTTGGAATTACGTTGTTTTCTTGGCAAGACCGAGTGGAGTCACTCAGAATTGCGTTGTTTTGTCGGCAAGACCGAGTGGAGTCACTCGGAATTACGTTGTTTTCTTGGCAAGACCGAGTGGAGTCACTCGTAATTGCGTTGTTTTCTTGGCAAGACCGAGTGGAATCATGCGTAATTGTTTAGCTCACGTTTCGAAGGCACATCCTTGGCCGAGTTGAAAAACTCGGGATGGAAGCCTTTTTGCGTGATTTTCCGAAGGCACATCCTTGGCCGAGTTGAACAACTCGGGAGGGAAGCCTTTTTGCGTGGTTTTCCGAAGGCACATCCTTGGCCGAGTTGAACAACTCGGGAGGGAAGCCTTTTTGCGTGGTTTTCCGAAGGCACATCCTTGGCCGAGTTGAACAACTCGGGAGGGAAGCCTTTTTGCGTGATTTTCCGAAGGCACATCCTTGGCCGAGTTGAACAACTCGGGAGGGAAGCCTTTTTGCGTGATTTTCCGAAGGCACATCCTTGGCCGAGTTGAACAACTCGGGAGGGAAGCCTTTTTGCGTGATTTTCCGAAGGCACATCCTTGGCCGAGTTGAACAACTCGGGAGGGAAGCCTTTTTGCGTGATTTTCCGAAGGCACATCCTTGGCCGAGTTGAACAACTCGGGAGGGAAGCCTTTTTGCGTGATTTTCCGAAGGCACATCCTTGGCCGAGTTGAACAACTCGGGAGGGAAGCCTTTTTGCGTGATTTTCCGAAGGCACATCCTTGGCCGAGTTGAACAACTCGGGAGGGAAGCCTTTTTGCGTGATTTTCCGAAGGCACATCCTTGGCCGAGTTGAACAACTCGGGAGGGAAGCCTTTTTGCGTGATTTTCCGAAGGCACATCCTTGGCCGAGTTGAACAACTCGGGAGGGAAGCCTTTTTGCGTGATTTTCCGAAGGCACATCCTTGGCCGAGTTGAACAACTCGGGAGGGAAGCCTTTTTGCGTGATTTTCCGAAGGCACATCCTTGGCCGAGTTGAACAACTCGGGAGGGAAGCCTTTTTGCGTGATTTTCCGAAGGCACATCCTTGGCCGAGTTGAACAACTCGGGAGGGAAGCCTTTTTGCGTGATTTTCCGAAGGCACATCCTTGGCCGAGTTGAACAACTCGGGAGGGAAGCCTTTTTGCGTGAATTTCCGAAGGCACATCCTTGGCCGAGTTGATCAACTTGGGAGGGAAGCCTTTTTGCGTGGTTTAAATGTAGGACTGAGTATGAGAGGGAAGAATTGAATTGTATTTCATTGATTATGTGCCTCATTAAAAACCTTGCCAGCCAAAACCCCTTTTCACATTTTTATAAGGGGAGAAAAGACTGATTAAGGAAAAGAGTGCACTTCTGTGATTACATTGTTTGCCATCATATTACAAGAACTAACTATAGTATGTTTTCGAATGCGACGCGTTCCAAGTCCTTGGGATGAAATTGCCCGAGAGCTCTTCAAGTTTATATGCGCCGTTGTCGAGGCTGTGTCGGATCCAAAATGGACCATCCCAATTTGCTGCCAACTTGCCTTCACGTGGATTACGTCTTGCCGTTCCTTGGACTCTCCACACCAAATCTCCTTCCTTGAAGCTTCTCTTAGTGAGATTAGAATTGAATCGCCTGATCATTCGCTGTTTGCAAGCTTCAGCTATTATCTAGGCCTTGTTGCGAACTTTGTCAATCATATCGACTTCGGCTCGGAGTGATGCATCATTAGCAACCGCATCAAAATGTTGCCACCGAAAAGATGGTTCCCCCACTTTGACAGGGATATGGCGTCAGTGCCATATGTTAGCCGAAAGGGTGTCTCCCTAGTTGTGGATTGTGGCGTACACCGATACGCCCAAAGGACTTCTACCAACTCTTCAGCCCAAGCTCCCTTGGCTTCTCCCAGTCACTTTTTGAGTTCGGTGAGGATCACCTTATTAGCCGCTTCGGCTTGACCATTGGATTGCGGATGCTCCACTGACGTAAACCTGTGTTTGATACCGAGATCTTGAATAAATCGATTAAGTTTTTGATCAGTGAATTGCAAACCATTATCAGTTATAATGGCGTGTGGAATGCCGAAGCGAGTAACAATGTTCTTCCATAAAAACTTCTGGACATTGGCAGCTGTGATATTGGCCAACGGCTCGGCCTCAACCCATTTCGTGAAGTAGTCTACAGCGACCAATAAAAACTTGCATTGGCCCTTAGCAATTGGAATGGTCCGAGGATATCCATGCCCCACATTGCAAATGGCCAAGGTGAGCTATTACCATGTAACTCTTCGGCTGAAGCATGAATGAGATTGTCGTGCCGTTGACATGACACGCAACGCTTAACAAATTTTATGCAGTCATCCTTGAGGGTTGGCCAGTAATACCCCGCCCGAAGCACCTTGGTGGCCAGGGTTCGTCCTCCTGAGTGGAAACCGCATATTCCTTCATGAATCTCTCTCAAGACATAGTTTGCTTGCTCCGCATCAACACATTTCAACAGTGGGACCGAAAACCCTCTGCGGTACAACTCTCCTCCAACCATTGAATACCTGGCAGCCTGGGTTCGGAGCTTTTTGGCGGCCGATGGGTCAGATGGCTCTTTGCCATGCTCAAGGTAATTTGTTATATCTGTGATCCATGTTCGAGTGGGCTCCCCAATCGTCATGCATTCGGTAGGTACCACACTCGGAGTTGTAAGTTCAAGGTGAAGTGTGGTTCGCAGCTGTCCAGGTTTCCGAGTACTGCTTACTAACCGGGCCAATTGATCAGCCCTCTTGTTGTGTTCTCTCGGCGTGTGTCTTACTTGGACTTCATCAAAGGTACTGCGCATTCTCTGAAACAAATGATAGTATTTCAACAAGCAGGAATCCTTAACCTGGAAGTTGTCATTGACCTGCTCGGATACGACCTTCGAATCGGTCCAGCACATCAATCGTCTGACCCCAATTTCTTGTGCAAGTCTTAAGCCAGCAATCAATGCTTCGTATTCGGCTTGGTTATTCGAAGCCTTGAACGCAAACCTCAATGACTGTTCGAGAGTCAGCCCAGTCGGTCCTTCAAGGATTATACCAGCCCCGCTACCTCGATTGTTTGAAGAGCCATCCACATGCATTGTCCACAAATCACTCAAAAAATGACCCTTCAACTGTAATTCATTAATAAAATCCACCAAGTATTGGGACTTGACTGGACCCCTCGGTTCGAAATTAATGTCGAATTCTGACAACTCAATCGAACACGCCATCATCCGTCCTGCTAATTCTGGTTTACACAAAACCTTGGCAATCGGAAATCCGTCCGAACTATGACACGATGACTCTGAAAGTATTGTCTGAGACGTCGAGCAGTGTGAACAAGCCCTAATGCCACCTTCTCAAGGAGTTGATATCTCGTCTCGACTTCCTGTAACATGCGACTGATGAAGTAGACGGGTTGTTGCGACCCTACTTCTTGGACCAGAACCGCACTGATTGCTTCATTTGACACGCATAAATAAACTACCATATCGACTTCAGGATTGGGTTTTGAAAGGATGGGAGGAGAACCGAGACGTTCCTTCAGCGCCTTGAACGCTTTTTCACATTCGTCAGACCATTCAAACTTGTTCACTTTCCTCAGTAATCCAACAATAGGTTTTCCTGTCTCGGCTAAACATGGGAGGAACTGTGACAACGCTATGAGCCGTCCTGCCAGTTTTTGAACTTCTTTCATGTTCCGAGGGCTGACCATGTTGATGACTGCCATGCACTTGTCGGGATTGGCCTCGATGCCTCTTGCTGACAGCATAAAGCCGAGGAACTTTCCTCTTGATACACCAAATACACACTTTTCTGGGTTAAGCCTCATATCGTATTTGCGTAATTGTTGGAACACCTCCGCCAGGTCAACAACATGTTGTTCAAGGTCTTCGGACTTAACAACCATATCATCAACATATACCTCCATATTCTTACCGAGCTGGTGTCGAAAGACTTTATTCATCAACCTCTGATAAGTTGCACCTGCATTTTTCAACCCGAAAGGCATTACCTGATAGCAATAATTGGCCGAGTCAGTTATGAAGGCTGTCTTTTCTTCGTCGCTGGGATGCATGGGGATTTGATTATATCCCGAATAAGCGTCGAGAAAAGTGAGGACTTTGTGACCTGAGGCGCCATCAACTAGCCGATCTATGTTCGGGAGTAAGTAAGCATCTTTGGGGCATGCTTTATTGAGATTAGTGTAATCAGTACACATTCTCCATTTTTCGTTCGGCTTTTTCACCATTACCACGTTTGCCAACCAAGTGGTATAGTGAACCTCCCGGATAAACCTGGCTTCAAGTAACTTGGCAACCTCTGTTTCAACTGCAATTTTCCGATCCGTGCCCATTTTTCTTTTACGATGAGCAACCGGTCTCGCCTCAGCACAAATTGATAACTTATGACACATGACACTGGGGTCTATGCCAGGCATGTCAGAAGGTGTCCATGCAAAAAGGTCTTTATTTTTCATTATTACCCGACACAAGATAGAATGATCTTCTTCAGATATGTCGGCACCAATGTACGTAACCTGGGTTGGGTGCAACCCGATTTGCAGCTGACTTTTTGATTCCACTGGCTCTACACGTTCTTCATTATTCATTCTTGGGTCCAGATCCCAAACTGGCTCCTCGGCCGATGCCGAAGGATTAACAACATGAACCCTCTTAGACTTGGAATTTCTTTCTTCCATGGGAGCTATTCGCAAACTAGCAAAATAACATTCCCGAGCAGCCTTCTGGTCGGCATGGATTGTGATGATTTTCCCCTTGTCGGATGGAAACTTCATTGCTAGGTGCGGAGTAGATACAACTACACCTAGCATGTTCAATGAGGGTCGACCGAGGAGAATGTTGTAAGATGTGCTAGCATCTACCACAATGTATTTTACTTGAATTTCCCTGCTTTCCTGCTCATCAAAACAAAAGCGAGTGAAAAGTTTAATATATCCTTTGGTGCTTACCCTCTCCCCTGCAAAACCGACCAAAGGATCGTCATAAGGGATTAATTCTCTTTCAGAGATACCCAATTGCATAAAGGTATTCCAATACAAAATATCTGCCGAACTGCCTTGATCCACTAGCGTTTTCTTGACTATACAATTGTGAATTTCCACGCTGATTACCATTGGATCATCTTGCACCGGATCAATACCTTGAAAGTCAGCATCAGTGAAAGTTATTGCTGGCAATCGCCGAGAAGGTTGCCTATCCACAGCGTTGACCGTTCGAATGGCTCTAAGGTGTCTCTTTCGGGCTGAGGATGTTGAGCCTCCACCCGCAAATCCACCTGCAATTGTATTGATGACCCTCCGACGTGAAGGTGTCGAATCATCCTTCCTTTCTTGTGACCTGCTTCGCTCGCGCCGCGGTCTATCCGAACGATCCTGCTTATGCCGATCATTGTGCCGATATTGGTAGGAAGAG